CATCCAAGGCCAGAGGGAAGCAGTGGGCATGCCCCACTTTCTGCTCATCTATTGATTTCTTTCTGCTCACCTGTAAGAAAGCCAGGGTAGGGCGGTTGGCATTACAGGGGCTTGATTCCTCTCTCCTGCTTTTTCCTTGTCATTAATTTCTATCCTATATACTGTTCCTATCCGGGCTCCATTGTCAAAGTTATTTCTTTGTTCATAATGACTATGAATAAGTAAACATTTCAGGAAAAAGTGGGGGTGGCAGGTGGGAATCTGGAGTACAGTTGCTGTGATAGTGGGGTATCCAGTGTACCCTTCTTTCTTCTCTCTCTTCCTTCCTTCCTTCCTTCCTTCCTTCCTTCCTTCCTTCCTTCCTTCCTTCCTTCCTTCCTTCCTTCCCTCCCTCCCTCTATCCCTCCCTCTCTCTGTCTGTCTCTCTCTCTGTCTGTCTTTCTTTCTTTCTTTCTTTCTTTCTTTCTTTCTTTCTTTCTTTCTTTCTTTCTTTCTTTCTTTCTTTCTTTCTTTCCTGAGAGTTCTTGTTCCAGGCCAGGATGGGTCACATGAAAATGTGCTGATGGCAGAGACTGTGAATATGTAGGTTGTTCTGGCTTTCAGATATGTGGAGGCCAACAGGTCAGGAAGATCTTCTTCTTTAGGTAGTTCATTGTTCACAGTGCCCTAGAAAAAAAGGGGTGTCCACTCACCGGTCCACACAGGGAAACACTAGTGTCAGGGAGGAGGTGGAGGATGCCAAAGGAAAGGATGGGCCATGCAGGCTGACCAGGCTAATCAGGTTAAGCAGACGAGGATTGACTAGTTGGATACTAGGGCTCTGATATCTTGGGGTTCTCCTCAGTTGTCTGACACCTGGCCCTGGGTGTCACCTGGGGTGACTCATGCTGGGTATCAGTGGCCTACATTGTGATAGCCTTATGAAGGAGGTATTGGGGCTTTTGGATTTGTTAGCTTACATTTGGATGATGCAGTCATGGGGACATCATTTGCTATCTTTAGGAATGAGCTCACCCTGGGAGGTGGGGCTCACACTCTAGGATCAGCTCTGGGTGGAGAAGCATCAGCAGCTGTCAGTTAGTACAGACTGAAAGAGGGAGAGACATCGGCATTGGGGAGATCACAGAGGGAATACTAAGGGCATTCTAAGGAGAAGCCACTTTGCTTTGGTTGGTTTGGTCCTGCTTGGGTGTTTGAGAGGGAGAGGAATCAGAAAAGTCTCAGTGTGAGGAGAGAGTGGGTGGCTGAGTCACCACAAGTGAGTCCAGTTAGGTATATGACAGTTGGGCTTGAGACTGGTGGAGGCAGTGAGCCCTGCGTCGACAGAGGCCCCAGACTGGGAGAGTGTGAAGCACCCTTGAAGGTTTAAGCAAAACCCAAGTGGACTCCTTGATACCAGGCAGAGGCATTTGGATTAGATTCCCAACCATCTGGCTACTATATTTAAAATGCCTGTGTGTGGCTATGTGTCACAGAACTAATTAACAGGTTAGGAGGTGGTGATAAATTATTGTGGCTGAAGAAAAGAAACCCACAATGGTGGGTGTGGTAGTTTGAATGAAAATGGCTCCTATAGGCTCAGAGGGTGTAGCACCATTTGAAAGGATTGGGGTGGGTGGCCTTGTTGGAGGAAGTGTGTCACTAGAGGTGGACTTTGAGGTTTCAGAAGCTCAAGCCAGGCCCAGTGGCGCACTCTCTTCCTGCTGCCCGCTGAGATGTAGACACTGTCAGCTAACTGTAGCACCGGGTCTGCCTGTGTGTGGCCATGCTTCCTGTCCTGATGATAATGGACTAAGCCTCTGAATGTAAGACAGCCCTAATTAAACGCTTTCTTTTATAAGAGTTGCCATGGTCATGGTGTCTCTTCACAGCTACAGAATACTGACTAAGACAATGGGGCTAGAAAACCAGTGCCTCCCGAGCCGTTAGCTAAACTTAGTGAGTGGATGGAGCTCTGGAAGCTTAGAGGGCAGAGATAACTATGCCCTGAGCAAGCAGTTTGGTGGCCCTAAGGCCCAGCATACCCCGTCATGAGAGTAGACTCCACAGATGCTGGATCATCCTGTTTTACAAGGAAAGTTGGAAATGCCTATATCCTTGTGAAATCTCTCAAGTTCATGAAATCACCTAGACTCCTGCAGTGGATTGGCCGATCTCCCTGTCACATGACAAGATAAACTCTGAGGCTTGCCGTGGGGACTCCTGGTGGTCTCTCTGGCCTGCACCTATTACCAGAATTGAACTATGAGGGTCAAAGAGGAAACGGGACCATCACAAATTATGCCTGCACCGGGAAACTGATGGTGTTGGTTTTGTTTCCTGTTGCTGTGATAAAACACCTTGGGGGAAGGAAGCATCAGAAGGGAGAAGGGTTCATTTTAGCTCGCAGTTGGAGCAGCAGTCCATCACGGTGGGGAAGGAAGGCAGCAGGAGCATGAGGAAGTTGGTCACGTTGTTTCTGCAGTACGGAAAAGAGTGATAAACACTTCTGCTTGCTTTCTCTGCCTTAGGCAGTCTAGAACCCCAGCCCATGGAATAGTGCCCATATTCAGGGTGGGTCTCCCCACCTCTATAAACCTAGTCAGAGAACCCTCACAGGCTTGCCCAGACGCTGTCTCTGGGGTGACTCTAGATCCTGTCAAGTTGACAACCACTGCTAACCGCCACCCTGAAGAGCATCCAAAAATCCTTCCCTGAGGTCTTGATCAGGCCACTCTGCCATGTTTGCCTGCACGTCTTCATTTGAAAAACTCATTCATTCAATAGCGTGCATCTGCTGTGTACTGGGCACCAAAACAAAGACTTGCATGAAGAAACAGAAACTTCGATAGAATGCTATTTAAAATTGTGTGGTTATCATGATTTTTTTTTCAGCAAATCAAGATTTAAAGATGTTGTTATTGATCATTTCCTTTGCCATCTCTGTGTGAGTAAAGTACCCTGAAATGATATTTTGGAACTGGTGGTTGACAGGGATGGAAAGCTGGGTCACCCTATCTGGGTCTTTTCTGTGATCTGGGCTGTGAGCTCCTTGTCTGGGACTTGACCTTGACATGGTAGATGCCCAGAATCTAGTGTACCTGTGGCACAGGTCAGACACAGCTGTCTCCCAGAGGAGTGGGTTGTAGATGGCCATGTCCAGTGTGGATAAAATTTTGGCTTTAGTAATTATAAATAAAGCTATAGCATAATTTTAAAACTTAAAATTCAAGAGAGTGGGGACAAATAGAACACTTTAAATAACTGCATGGGACCATTTATGCTGCTATGACAAAAATACAGTAGACGAGGTGACTTAAACAGTGGACATTTATGTCTTGTGGTGCTGGAGACTGGAATGCCAAGGTCTGAGGACTGGCAGATTTCAGTGTCTGCATGATTTGTCTTCCTGATCTGCCTTCTTGAGTGTCCTCACCTGACCTTCTTTCCACCCATGGAGTTGAAGGAGGGTTTGCTGGGCAAATCGGATTAGCACCCCACCCTTATGACTTCATTTAACCTTAATTTACTTCCTAAAAGCCCTATCTCCAAATAGTCACTTGGGAATTAGGGCTTCAACATATGAATTTTGTGGGGACACAATTCAGTCCATAGCAATAACCTAACATTATGATGACACCATTATTGAGAATGCAATTTCTTTTTCTTCCTGTTTTTGGTCTCATCATGATCCAGCTGAAGTTGAGAGGTTGCCCTGCATGCTGTTTAACCTCTCATTTGAGACCACACCCTGCTGTGGTTGGGTGGAGACGGTGTGGAAGAAAGGGCATGGACCAAGGGCAGGGGATGATAGTGTTCCTGGGACAACCATCTGGAGGAGTCAAACTGTGCCCTGGCATATCTGCTCACCCTGGGTAGCATCTGCCCTGTTATGCCTGGTTTTGTTTGTCTCATCCCCTCCCACCTGTGTGGCATAACCAGGTTGTGACTTCTAGATGCCTTATGCCAATGGTCCTCAGCCTTCCAAGTGCTGCGACCCCAACCATGAAATTATTTTTGTTGCTACTTTATAACTGCAATCTTGCTACTGTTATGCATCATAATGTAAGTATCTGATATGCAGGATGCAGGATATCTGATCTATGACCCCCAAAGGTTGCAAACATAAAAACTATGAAAAATTTGCTCTTAAGTGTATGGGTATCCTTGGCTCAATAGTGTCTACAGCTACAAACAGGTTTGCTTGTGTGTGTGTGTGTGTGTGTGTGTGTGTGTGTGTGTGTGTGTGTGTCTGTGTGTGTGTCTGTGTGTGTCTGTGTGTGTATGTAAAATGTTGCTTTTTAAAAAATCAAAACTAAGCTCATGGCTATTTAAAAACAGAATGTCACCAACCCCAGAGTCAGAGCGTACTGACCTGCACCAGGGTTTGCCCATGGGCGTCGCTGCAGGAGCAGTCCCAGGAACTGCTTTGAGGAAAGACATGAGCTGTATCTGCCTCTAAGTGCCCTGCAGCCGCTGTAACAAGGCACAGGGGCTGCAGGATGTGGTGAACACTATTCCATGCGGAACTGCAGGGGGGCTTAGGAGGGCTGAGAGTAATGATCCACCTGTGAATCTGACAGGAACATGGAGGCCACCGCCACCCTCCTTGTTGAGAATGTCCATTTGAAATATGTTCTAGGCTACGGCTCCTGTCCTATTAATTATGTCCCAAACCTAGTAAAGCTGAATAATTAATGATCACAGGGCACTTGAAGCTCTAAGATGTCATGTAAATGTTAAGGAGTACAAATTACTCTGCATAGTAGAGAGCTCTGTTGCCTTACCCGGATCCCGTGGTGGGAAGGTATGTTTCCAGGAAAGCTAAAAAGCTTTCTTTGGAGTTTTCTCGGAAGGTCGGACTGTCTTAACTCACTGTCTTAACCACATTTTAGGAGGCTTGGGTTTCCATATCCTGCAGAATTTGAAACACCAATGGCCGGCTGCCACTGGCAGCTGTGAAAATGAAGTCACCTACTTACGGCGTTTTGGTAAAAGTTGTGTTTGTTCATTCTCTCTAGCCGAAGGCAGTTTGGGCCCAAGGGCAAAGAGGAGGTGAAGATTGTCGAGCACCAGATGCAGGCACTCAGGCTGATGTCTCACCTGGCCACTGCATTGGCCTTGACCTTCACCAGCAGGTAAGCCGGCTCTGGGAACGCTTCTCCCCCAGGAAGCCATTACGGGGGTGGGACACAGGCTCACTTTCTAACTGTGAGCAGGAACAACGGGCCTGTGGGGAAAATCTGACGCTGAGGCTCAAGGTGAACCCCCAAACTTGACTGAGTGTCCAGAAGAGTGGAATCCACCAAGAATTCAAGAAGACTTCCATCAGTGCTTGTCTACGGATACTAAAGCTAACAGATGTGAGCTGTAGAGATGGCTCAGTAGTTAAGAGCATGGCTGATCTTCCAGAGGACCCAGGTTTGACTCCCAGCACTCACATGGTGGCTTATAACCATCTATAACTCCAGTTTCAGGGGAATCTAATGCCCTCTTCCAGCCTCCATGGCCGCAAGGAACTTGCATGGTGCATAGACATGAATGTAGGCAAAACACTCAGTCACAAAAAATAAAATAAAAAATAATGTAAAAAAAAAAACCCAGAAGAAGTAACAGATTTGAACAGTTAAAATACCTCCAACTTCTCATAAGATTTCTAAGTGGACAATAAAGCTTTGAACACTAGGTCAAGGCGTGTGTGTGCTGTGTGTGTGTTGGGGAAGGAGGCAGGGTGCTGAATGAAATAGCAGAAATGGTACTGTAACTGCACATGCATGATCACCTTCACCACAGGCTTTTAAAATTTTTGTTTTAGATTTATTTATTTTATAAGTGTCTTACCTGCATGTATGTTTGTGTGCCATATGTGTGCCTGGTACCTGACAAGGACAAAGGAGGGTATCCCATACCGGAACTGGGGTTACAGATGTTCTGAACTATCATATGGGTACTGGGACCAACCCTGGGCCTCCGAAAGAGCAGCAAGTGCTCTGAACTGCGAAGCCATCTCTGCAGCCCTCACCAGCGGCTTTAATAGACAGATGCCTTCAGACGCTCCGTCTCGCCCCTGCAGCCCTCACCAGCGGCTTTAATAGACAGATGCCTTCAGATGCTCCGTCTCGCACCACTCGGGCAGCGCCTAGGCTGTGTGTTTTGTATCATTGTCACCTCTACATCCTAAAGACAAGGACCACAGGACCCAGGAGGATGTGGGCTGGGAAGAGGATGTCAAACTTCAGACCTTTCTCCTGCGTTCTTTTTTCTCTAACATGCTACTTCTGCTTCTTAGTGGGGTTGCTTCTGCGTAACTCACAGTCCTACACTTGTGGGAAAATTTACACCCTGACGAGTGTGTGCTGGGATTTATAAGACGGTGGTCATCAGAGAAATCCTGCCATGTCTGGTGTACTGCTGACCTGTGGGGTGCCACAGTCCTTGGGCCTACCTGGGGGGGGGGTCTTCTCATAACACGGGTGGGGAGCTCAAGTCCAGGACTCCAGGGAGTACCAAGAATGAATTCTGTGGCAGGAAAAACGAGCTACCTGAGAAAAGTATAAGCCACTCACATCCAACATCTGTTGTTAAAATTTTTCTGAATTTTCCTTCCCAGCACTGGGCACTAGTGTGCTACTCTGTTGCTGTGATAAAACACTAGCCAAAAGTAAACTGGGAAGGAAAGGGTTCATCTGGCTCCCACTTCTGTATACTAATCCATCATTGAGGGAGGAGGTCAGGGCAGGCACTGTAGAGGAACACTGCTTACTGGTTTGCTCCCCCTGGCTTGCTCAGCTTGCTTTCTCACAGAACCTTGGACCACCTGCCCAGGAGTGACACCACCCACAGTAGGCTGGGTCCTCCCACATCAGCCATCAATCAAAAAAATGGCCACAGATTTGCTTACAGGCCAAGTCGATGAAGGTAATCTCTCCTCCCAGCTGACTCTATTTTGTGTCAAGTTGACAAAACCTAACCAGCACTTGGGATGAATCTTAGGCTGCTGCACATGCTGGGCACTCGGGATTAAACCTTAGGCTGCTGCACATGCTGGGCACTCGGGATTAAGCCTTAGGCTGCTGCACATGCTGGGCACTCGGGATTAACTTTAGGCTGCTGCACACATTAAAACCAGTGCTATACCACTAAACTTCTTGCTCAGTTCTATTTCTGAATATTTTTGAGGTTCAGTTTAGACAGAGTAAAATGCACAAGTTGTAGTGTATCATTTAGTGAGTTTGGGCAAATACGAACAGCTGTGTAGCCAACACTCCTATTGAGTATAAACCGTTTTCATCACCCTGGGAAGCTTCCTGAGTCCCTTGAAGTTGAGCCCCGCTTCACCACCATAGCTGAGACAACACCCATTTTGGTTTCTATTCCCGTAGCTTGGCTTGGTTTGCTCCAGTCGAGAGAGGCCACTGTTCTGACTTTGAGTTTCAAGGTGAGAAATGACAGGTGATTGACACTAATGAATACCAAATCACAGAGCCGTTATTGTGTGACACGCTGTGCTGTTGAACTCATCACCAATCCAACTGCTCCATGGCCTTCTAAATTCTTGACTATTGCTTTTTTTGTCCTGTGTGTGTGAGGAGGTCAGAGGTCAACCTCCGAGGCTTCCTTTCCTTCAGCTTCTGAGGAAGCAGCCAGTCCAGTTTGTGGTAGCATGGCCCAAATCTGTGCTGGCTTCTCCCCGTTCTCCTGCTCTTTTCATGTTCCTTCTCCACAAAGGTCATCAGACCTGGCCGCAGGATTTGTCTTCCAACTTCGATGGATGCCTGCTGCCGTCAGCAGGTCGGGGGCTGGGTAACTTGAGGCTGGACCGGTGAAATACTCAGGGCGTTGAGTTCTACTCAGACAGGGGTGGGCCAGGTCTTCAGGTACACAGGGCTGGAGTTCGTAAGCAGGAAAAACAGCTCCGCAGCCAGGGTCAGCTGGCCCTGCCCGTCCCCCGCCCAGCATCTTGTGATAAAATCACAAGTAGTTAGATTCCACAGCAGAAAGGAGACGGCAGAGGTGAGGTGGGATGGGCTTTTCTTGGCTTATGTAACTTGACCCCACCATTTGCTACTTGGAATTCTGTCTCAATTTCTCCGAATATAAAATAGTAATAATAAAACCTGACTTAGGGGCTTTTTGTGAAGATCACGTGGGTGAAGATTTGGATATGCTCAGAGTAAAGTACTGGATGCTCAATGAAGTTGGTTGTTGTGGCCATTACCCGCAAGATTCCTCAAACGTCACTTTTTTTTTTAATCCGAGTATCCACGTTTATGTCAGCGTTAGTCATGGCTATGGAATCAACCTTATTGTACATCAACTGGAGAAGGAGAAAACACGGCACATAGTCCGCAAACCTTCCGTTCCCCCATCCTGCCAATCCGCACCTCCTGACAGTATGATTTCCTTCCCCTGTTATCTCACCTGACCCTCTTCAGTTCCACTCTCTTAACCGGCCACCGCCAACCCGGACCTCTTCAAATTCACCACCAGCAGCCTCTGAAACAAAGTCTGAGTTCTCGCTGGGACCCTGGAGTATCTTCTCCTCTAGGCAAGCTCAAGCTCCCCTGTGTGGCCTTGGAGAGCCTTCTACCTGTCCGTGTCTCTCCTCTGTTGGGCTCTACCGCTCGACTCCAAGCTCAGCCCCTGAGCTCACACTCCTCCGTCAGGCCCTCCTACAGACACACTAGATGTACCTGCAGCTCCTGAGCTCACACTCCTCCGTCAGACCCTCCTACAGACGCACTGGATGTACCTGCAGCTCCTGAGCTCACACTCCTCCATCAGGCTCTCCTACAGGCGCACTGGATGTACCTGCAGCCCCTGAGCTCACTCACCTCCATCAGGCTCTCCTACAGTGCACTGGATGTACCTGCAGTCCCTGAGCTCACACTCCTCCATCAGGCCCTCCTACAGACACACTGGATGTACCTGCAACCCCTGTCCCTCACTCCTCCATCAGGCCCTCCTACAGACACACTGGATGTACCTGCAGCCCTGCCCCTCACACTCCTGCTTTCCTTCACTAAGACAGTCATCTTCTTAGACAGACTCTCCCAAGCCTCTTCCTGGAGTAAGGAATGACCTAGTCCACTTTGTCCCTGCACCGTTATTCTTGGTGGAGGACTTGACTTCTGTGAGCATAGAAGTTGTGGGTCCTTAACTTGGCATCTTCCTGTCTCCCAGTGCCTGACTCTACATACGTTAATTCAACTAAGGGGATGAAATTACCTTGTTCAATGACATCACATTTGGCCAAGGAGTTGGTTAGAGTTTTGCATTTAAACCATCCTGATAGTGTATGGAGCAGGGATTTTATGTTATGAAGTTCAGAAGTTACTGGCCAGGGAAGCTGGTGACTGATACCTCCCTTTGGAACCATCTAGAGAGATTTGCTATGGAAAGAAATCTCCTCGCTTAGAAAGTAACTAACAACTTTTAAAAAATGCTCTTTGCAGTGTACCAGCTCAAAGGATTGTTTGGGTCTGCCTCTTATTTACTCTTGGCCAAGTGGGCATCTCAGGCAGTCAGGTGGGGCTGGGTTCCAGACCAGGGGTGGAGGGAAGGGTGTAGAAATGCTCATGCATCTGTCTTTCAGCTGCATTTAGTCATTCTTTGGAGAATTTTTTCCACTCAGCACCTGTGAGGATACATTTCAGATAACTGCTAGTGCATATTCAAGTGTGGATAGTATAGCAAACCCTGCCTTAAGATTTCACATGTACTGACTCATTCAACATCTCAAGATAATTCAACAAAGCAGATGGTGTGTGTGTGTGTGTGTGTGTGTGTGTGTGTGTGTGTGTGTGTGTATTGTTCAAATGCAGAGGCCAGAGGAGCACATTGTGTGACTTCTTCCATCTCTGTCCACTTTATTGACTTGAAACAAAATCTCCCATTGAATGGGAAGCTCGCTGTTTGGTCTAGGCAGGCTGGCCAGCAAGTCCCAGGGGGCTGCTTACCTCTGCCCCCAATCCTGGGTTACAGGCACACATGCCCATACTACTTTGTGCTTTTTAAAATGGGTACTGGGGATTCAAACTAGATTCTCTGGCCAGCAAGCAAGCCCCAGGGATCTGCTTGCCTCTGCCCCCAACACTACATATTTCATTTCACCGCTACATATCTACCTGAGTGAAAAGAAGTCACGTGCCTCCTTTAAGACGTACACATACATTTTCATAGCTATTTTATCTATAATAGTTCCAAACAGGAAATAAATGAAGTGTTTATTGACAAGTGAATGCACAACAGAAGTGTAGTCTATGTATTACATAAAATGGAATAGTAATTGGCAGGAAAAAATAACAGTGACTAACAACAAGAATAAATCTCAAAATAGCACAATAATTGAAATAAGGAAGGCACAACACACTGCACAGTCCTACTGTGAGTAAGTCTGTAGTGAGTGGCAAAGAGCATGTCCGTGGTGACCTTGGGATGGGACTGGAGGGAGGAATAGACTGAGAAGCATGTGGGGTAATTTTGGGGTGCTGTTGAAAATGTTTTGTGGATTGATAATCTTATGAGAATGCATAGCCATCAAATCTGTATGCTTTGAACGAATACTAAATTATTCCTCAATAATGTTGATAAGGAAAAACTTTAAGGTGAAGCTAGTAATGAAGCTTATACCTTGTAGAAGCTATCCCTCTCTGTATATGCTGTATTTCTATCCCCCCTCTCTTCATTTATAAACATATTGGTAGCGCAATGGATGGGAAAATGAAATGAAAGTACACTTATGGGAAAACATTTCCGCATCACCTACACAGTGACATAGCACTCTATGAGTGAAGTATAGAGCCAAAATACGTATTTTAAGCCCTAGAAGAATCACTAAAAATAACATAGTGTATGCTGGTTAAGTACCCAGATTAGGCTATCTTCTGGGGGCTGTGATGTGGAAGAGCCCAGCCCTTGGTGTCACCCCTTGGTAGGTAGTCCTGTGTTGTATAGGAAAGCTGGCTGACCTGAGCAGGAGAGAGCCAGGGCGCAGCTTCCTCCACGGTCTTTCTGCTCTGGGTTCCTGCTCTAACTCACCCAGTGATGGACTGTTATCTGGAAGTGTGAGCCAAATAAACCCTTTCATCCCCAAGTCACTTTTGGTCATGGTGTTTATCTCAGCAAACCAGAACACAGTTTAAAGGTTAATTGTGGATCTCTGGTTTCTCTTAGGAGCACATAAATATTTTCCTCTTTAGAAGTTAATGGTGGAATATGGTAGATGGGATTGAAAAAGACAGGAATAGAGGGGGGAAGGGAGCAAAGAGTGTAGGAATAAACAGCAAATAATTTCAAGGTGGAATTTTAAACTCATTTTGTTGAGAGTTCCAAAATGGCTACCTAAACGAGACCTAAACAATGACAACACCAGTTACCATCCCAAAGTGGATGGGAAATATCGCAGGATACCGTGTGACCATACTTCAGTGTACCAGTCTGGAAATTTCCAGTAAGTTTTAGATCCTGAGACGATGGTTCCACACTTGGCATGTTGGCCACCCTGGACTTTAATGCCCATGCCTAGGGCCTTTTCTGTGTCCTAGAGTTCGGCTGACTACAGAGAGAATTCAGGAAAACCTTCATACTGAACATTAGTTCTATGACAACTTGTTAAAAGAACTGGAGACAAGACCACAGTGAAGGCATTCAAAGAAGAGAGTGAAAGACAACCTGGCCCTCTTCAACTATGGCGTTTTGAAACACAGAAAGAGAATAAGATTTGTGGAGGTGAAAGGCACATACAGGGAGACCAACAAACGTTACATTGTGTAGATGTCACACCCACAGATGGCTGAAAACAAGGAAACGGGCGAAAACATTCTGAAGAAGGAGTTAGTCAAAATCTGCATTAGCTTCCAGCTACTGCTGTGACTATAACTGTTCCCACCTCTTGGAATCTGTTCCAATACCCCATGGATGCCTAGAGCCGTGGGTGATAGCAAACCCTACATATACTATTTTTTCATACACACCTATAATAAATCTATATAATTTATGAAATTGGGCAATGTAAGCAACTAATAACAAAATAGTATGATTGTAACTATGTGTTGTAAAGATGTTCTGTGGATGTGATCCATCTCTCTTTCAAAATGTCTGATTGTACTGCGCCCACCATTCTTACGGTGTGGTTAAGGCAGTGCCTGAGAGGTGGTCAAGTGGGAGGAGTGGTATGGGCATTGGCATGCCGTGCCAGGCATTCACGCAGAGGTTACCTGGACACAAGCATAGTCAGTCGGATAACTATGACTCCCACAAGTCACTAGTGAGTGGCTAGAAAGGATACAATTCAGATCCGTGAGAAATCATTTGTGTTCCAGACAAGGCACAATAAGATTCTATGAGGTTTTAGCATGCTGCCCAGGATGGCGTATTGTTGAAAACTTAGGAGCTGTTTATGTTTGGAATCTTCCGTTGAGTATTTTCAGATCCTAGTTGACCACACTTCAGTTGAACTGTGGAAGGCGCAACTGCAATCCACAGACTTGGTGGCACAAAACAGCACAGCGTTATACTCTTACAGTTCTGGGAGTTGGAAGTCAAAATGAGGCCTGCTGGCTTAGAAATCAGGGACTTGGCAAGTCTGCCTTCCTTTGGAGACTCGAAGGAGCGTCCACATCCTTGACCTTTTAAAAGCTTCTGGGGGCTGCCTCGTTGCTTGTCTTGCCCCTCCTTCCATCTGCAAAGCCAGCAATGTCCACTTGCTCCCTAGGGCCGCGTCACCTCGGTTCTTCCCTCCTCTTCTTGTCTCTAGCCCCTTCCTCTCATACACAGACACTTGTGTTCACGTCAGCCCAGCTGTATCCCCCAGGACCCTGGTGTAATCACATCTCCCAAGTCCCTTTTGCCATATGAGACGACACATGCACATGAGGTTCCAGAGGTAGGAATATGCCCTTCTTTGGGGACCGTTATTCTACTGCCTATACAATCCATGGAAGAATTTCTAGTAGAGGGGGACTTTAAAAAATGACCACCTTTTTTTTATAAAATAAAATTAAAAAAAAAGTAGAAATCATTAATATAAAAAAAAGAACAAAGGAGGAAGGGAGTGAGTATGAACATGTATCAGTCCCTGCTTTCTGACTGTAGATACAATATGGCAAGTCATTTTATATTCCGGCCACCATGCCTTTGGCACCATGATGGATATACCATATTCCTTACGTATGCATTCAGCTGAGGAGCCCCCATGGAACTGGACCAGGACCTCTGGATAAGTGACACAGTTGATTAGCTTGAACTGTTCAGGAGGTCCCCAGGCAGTGGGACTGGGACCTGTCCTTGGTGCATGAGCTGGCTTTTTGGAACCTAGGGCCTATGCTGAGACACTTTGCTCAGCCTTGGTGCAGGGAGGAGGGGATTGGACCTGCCTCAACTAAATCTACCAGGCTGGGCTGTCTCCCCAGGGGAGACCTTGCCTTGGAGGAGGTGGGAATGGGGGGTGGATTGGGGGGAAGGAGGGGGGAGGACAGAGGAATCCATGGCTGATATGTAAAATTAAATTAATTATAAAATAAAAATATTTATTAAAAAATAAAACAAAAAACTCTAAAAAACCAAAAAAAAAATGACCACCTCACAAGGTAAGCAAAACTTATTGCACAGTCAGTAGAAGAAAATAATATGGAACACGATCCTATACATAGACAGAGAAGCATGGAGCAGAGGCCAGCATTAGCGATGGGGCTTAGGGACTGAGTGCAGAAATGTGCTCTCGGGCTGGGAGTGAAGGAGAGCATTTACAAGCAGAGAGCGATGTGGTGATGTGCAAATTTGGTGGTAGTGCAGAGTGACAGTTTTAAAGGGGATCTTGGGTGGTAACTGGGGCTCATGCGTGCTTCTTCTGTGTGGGTGTGACACACTGCTGCACCCACCACACGTCTCTCCTTTGTCTCACAGGCATGCGGCCTTTGTCCTGGATGAAGACATCTTCCAGGGGAGGGATCTCATCAACAGGCGCTCACTACAGGCCCTAATGGCTGGGCTGAAAGCCTACAGTACCTGGGAGACCATCAGCTGCCTCCAGGACTGTCGTGAATGCACCGGAGGCATGGTGAGTCCCTAAGCTGAGCAGGCCTGTTTGCCCCATGGTCACCAGATCTGCAGGGCTCTGCCCGGTACAGTATGTGTGGGGGAGCAGGACATGTTGGGCAAAAGAAGTCTTTGAATCTGAAGGAAACGGTCACTGTCCCCAGACTCTGGGTACTTAATATTAGCCTGTGGCTTGGCCCCTTACACGATGTTGCAAGAACTGATGTGGACCATGTTGGTGAAATGCTTGGCATGCAGTGGCTGGCCGTGAGGATTACTGGTGAATGTCCTTGAACTGGAAGGTTGTGGCTGACAAGATAGGAAATGGCCACCGAAGGTTCAGATGCTCAAAGCGCTGCTCCATTAGTCCCATGGGTAGAACACAAGAAATGTCTCCAAGTGTTTCCAGCTCTGGGAAGGAAACAGTGTTTGTAGTCTATAGCAATGTCTCCAGCTCCAGGGTTGCCTGGACTGTGCAGTGAGGGAAATTAGGAGGGAAAAAGTGCAATGTGAGTCTCTGGGAGTTGAGGGGACTCAGAGAACAGCCGTGTTGTGTTGCCTTTCCCGGGAAAACAGCTGTTCATCCCAGATAGGGCGTGGATGGCAAATCAAAGACATGATGCTATTCAAGACCCGCTTGGTGAGTCAGTGAGTGAGGGCACTGGGGTTACTTACAGGAGCATGGGTGATGCAAAGGCATCACATCACTGGAAAGCTCACTACTGGATTCCAGATGCATGCTAACATGCCTGGCTTTTACGTGAGTTGTGGGATTTGAACTCAGATCTTCAACCCTATACAGCAAGTGCTTTTACCCACTGATTCATCTCCCTAGCCTCACAACATTGTTCATTCTTTACAAAATTCTTCCTAATTGTGTCACCCTTGCTTATGTCTTGGTATATTTCTCCCCATCCCACTTCCTCCCTCCCCCACCCCCTTCACTCCCCAGGAGTGGCTGGCAACTCATGAAAATTACATCCCTGGGGTTCCCCATACAACTTTCACACAGCTCCCTCTGAATAAGTCTCCTTGCCCCAGCAACCGATTTTTACTTGTATAACTTTGGGGCAGGATCCTGTGAATTGTGCGGCTTTTGTCTGCTTTCTGGGCTTTCTTAGTCTCCAGGAAGGGATACTTCAGCTTAGAGAAGCATTTACACCACAGGAAGGGATCTGTACCAGACTCTTCCACAATCCTGTGAGCTGAGTAGGATTCAAGAAAATGCCACCCTGTGTTGGACAATGCCAGTGAGAAGGTGGATCCCAAACAGTGTGTGTGTGTGTGTGTGTGTGTGTGTGTGTGTGTGTGTGTGTGTGTGTGTGTGTGTATACAGGGCATGTGGATGTGGCATTGTGGATCTGTGACTCAGCAGTCAGACATTGGCTGGGGCAGTAATTGGGGTTCAGTCCCAAAGGAAACACAGCATTGGTAACCCCAAGAAATGCACCACTTCGGTCATACGCAGTCTGGACTCAGTAGTTCCTGCAGTTCCCAGGGGACACTTCCTAGGGGAGATGGAAGGAACGAGCCCTGTTGGGCCTTTGGTCTGAATCTGATGCTGAATCTGGTTGAATAATACCTAAGACAACTGTATCTGAAAAGGAAAAAGAGAAGTTTTGGCCTTTTGGAGAAAAGGTTGAGAGAAAGTCAAGGGAAGTTCTAGAAAATCAAAGGGGAAGGATGTTTTGGAAATCTGTTTCTCAGAGTTGGGGAACCCTGTGGAGGGATAAGTGGAAGGGGGCAGAGCTGCTGGCAGAGCTGGAGGGCTTCTCCATGAGCTATTGGGCTGGCTCATCAGAAAGCCAGCATGGCCGAGCAAAGCCATACCCAAGATGGAGGGGGTCCTGGAGGACACACGTGCATCTTCCCTACAGGACATTTTGAGGGAGACCCCTTGGAAAGGGAGAGTAAAGAATGGTGACCTTTGACCCTGGAGTACACCTGGGCCAGGTCCTCCAAGGTAGCCAGGGCAGTGGCTCATTAGGGTCTCCCTTAGGGACCTGACAAGTCAAATAACTGAATCCCATCAGTAGCTGTGGGAGTTGGCTGTCTCTTCAGATAGGAGGGTGACAGCAGCTGGGGACAGAATGTGGGATTCTAGAGTAAGGCTGGGTGAGAGGTGGCAGGTGAGATCTGTAGGGATCCCTCAGGTAGTAGCTGTTCACAGGGGGCGATCAGGACATAGCTGGAACTCTAAACTGGCTCAGACCGTGTCCCTCTGAGAGGTACCTGAGCCCCGAGGTCTGCTCACCCACCTGTGATCTTCTGGTCATCATCTAGTTCCTCCTCTGGCTCATCCTCTCTACCGTGGTTTGAATGTGGCTGTTTGCACTAAAGCTAACGTTGGGCCTTGGCTCCCTGATGCACTGGTATTGAGTGATGCCCAGTTGTGTGCAGGCCCAGGGCAGGTGACCTTAACTGCTATGGGTAAATGAATTGTGTCACACTCAGAAAATAGTTTTTTTTAAACCCTTCTCTCTATCATCTGGTTCTTATATCCTTTCTACCACCTCTTCTGGATATTCCCTGAGCCTGAGTAAATGATATAGATGTCTTGTTGAAGGCTGAGTGCTCATCAGTCATGGCTACAGCAGTCATGAGTCTCTCTATTCACTGCAAAGAGAAGTTTCTCTGATCCAAGCTTAGAGTAGCACATATCTATGAATATAAACATAAATATTTAGAAGGCAATATTCTGTGATGTCAAATTATGGAAACAACAGTAGTGAGTCCTCTCCAGTGCCAGGATTACAGGTGTGTGTCACCACACACTCTCCAGTGCTGGATTACAGGTGTGTGTCACCACACACTTTCCAGTGCCAAGATTACAGGTGCGTGTGTCACCACACACTCTCCAGTGCTGGGATTACAGGCACGTGTGTCACCATGCACTCTCCAGTGCGGGGATTACAGGTGTGTATCACCACACACTCTCCAGTGCTGGGATTATAGGTGTGTGTCACCACACACTCTCCAGTGCTGGGATTACAGGTGTGTGTGTCACCACACACTCTCCAATGCTGGGATTACAGGTGTGTGTGTGTCACCACACACTCTCCAGTGCTGGATTACAGGTGTGTGTCACCACACACTCTCCAGTGCGGGGATTATAGTGTGTCACCACACACTCTCCAGTGCCAGGATTATAGGTGTGTGCCACCACACACAGCTTTCTGCATGGGTGCTGGGAATCTGAACTCAGGTTCTCATCCTTGGACAGCAAACACTTCCCTTACTGAGGCACCATTACTCTTTAGAGAGAAAATGCCAGCACTGGGCTTAGGGTAGTCATGATCAAAGCAAGAGTGCCCCCCTGGAGGCTCATTTTGGGGGAATGCAAATTTGTTGCCATGTTTAGTATGGGAGCAGGAAACTTGAGGAGAGGAGGGAAAATCATCCAGTGTGCCAAGATATGAACCTACCTGGCACTGATCTTTGCCTTGTTCCTCTCCACAAGCAGTCCTCCTAACCTGTGACCCGTGCCTCCCTTAACTGCTGGCTTTCATATTCTTCACCTAGTGCAAGTGACACCTCGAGAGGGCAGCTTATTTCCTCAGTGAAGCCATTTTATAGCCACATGTGTTAGGCTACTTTTCCTAATTATAAAAACAATGCATGCCCTCTGTGGAAGTTTTTGAAAATACAGAAAAGCACACAGAAGAAAGTGAGTGCATGCTACACCTATGCTTCCAAGCTATGGCTGGTTTCTGAGCCTCATTCTTTCTATGCACTGTGTGTGTTTAGGGTTATAACCGCTCCTCACACCCATGAGTTGGTAGGGACAATGCTTCAGATCTCACTTATTTAATGTAGTTTTAATGACTGGTACCATTTATGATGGAGGTGTAACATAATTCAACAACTAACCTTCAGATATGTAAACATTTTCATTATTATAAAAATATTCTAGCACCTAACTTTGGTGGTGATTTTTGTGCATATTCTGTTTTCTTGGGATCCTATGTTTAAACAAAATTGACACTGTGAACAAAGGGTATGCTTATTTCTACTCCCACCAGCAGTCCAACAATGAAGCTTAATCGTTTCTAGATCAGTGACTTGCAAGTTCTCTCAGTCGTGACCCCAAATGAAAGGTACATTTTTTTTTTTTAATCACAATCCAAAAATTCCACACATACATACATGGAATCGGAAAAACATGAGAAATTTTCATGTAATGACACTGGCCTTTCTATCCTGATGTGTTCTAATGATTTCTTTTTATTTTAAGAAGAGCAGGTCACCGTGCCCTCACACTTGTAAGGAGCTATCCTTTGAGCCAAACTGCGGCCATCTTGACCTCATGACCTGCTGGTGTATCACAGCTGGCAATTTGCAGAACACAGCCAGTCTCACTGAGCAAACCTAGAGTCCTGCCCCTGGGTAGGCCAGGGCTGGCCACAGTGTGTATCCCCTAAGCTGCAATGTTGAGGGATACATTGTTTATCCCAGACTCTGGGATACCTTCTGTGACTAGAATGTTTCTAATTTCACTCGTTGGTACTTAAGATTTTGTTTTTGAAGGTGAGGAAGAATGAGGGCCCCTAATTATCTCCTGAGAGCCAACCATTTTTTCCCTACCTGCCTACATGTTCTAGTCCAGACCCCAGGCCATCCACTTAGGACAAAATTATACACAAATGACGGGGAGAAGTGGCAGAGATATTGGGTGAGGATCCAATGACCTTTCCTATCCCCTCCTTCTCTGAGAGAATGTCAACAGCCCACAGGCCTGAAAGTGATGGGCTCTTAGCTGATCTCAGGAAGATGGCCGCAGTTTGGCTCAAAGGATAGCTCCTTACAAGTGTGAGGGCATGCCTCAAAGCTGAGCAAACCGTCTCTCAGAAGTACTGAGGCACAGTGCTCAGTGCTCACATTGGTCTGGAATGGTTGTTTTCGACACTTTAAAAAAGAAATGCTCCATATGAAAGGATTACCTGTAAAATTGACAGCAAATTTATCACTGGGAACAAGGCAAGTCAGAGGATGTGAAAAAGCATTTTTAAAAAATTATGAATG